ATCGAATTTTAAAGGTCACAGTTAAGTAATTGATCACAAGGGACCAAATAGTTGGTCACAGGTCAACTACTGGGTCACATACCACCACCTCCTCCAATGTCTCCACCGCCACTTGCGACCACCCTCACGCGATGGCCGACTACGCCGCCACCACCAACAACAATACACCAACTCAGATTCGACCACGCCCACCGCACACAAAACAATACACCAACTTAACATAACGTCCAGCAACCGTCATCACCACAAAACCGCTCCCAGCCATCGCCAAACCCCCCACCACCACAACACTACAACACAGCTCACGACTACCACCACCACCACCACCATCTCCTCCATCTCCGCCCCCCGCCACCGCCAAACCCCCAAATAGAAGGCGCACTGCACAGAGTTTCAAGCCGGTTTTTGAGAAAAGAATGTCAGATAAACGGTCGCACAGATCCCCCGTCGTCGGCACAACAAGCAAAAAAATCCCCAAATCCACCACAAGCAACAAAAAATCCCCAAATTACACTGTAACCACCACATCCACCCCAAATCCGCCGTCCTCGCCACCACTACATGCATTGGAGTCACCGCGCCGCAATGGGTAGAGAGAAGGGGGTGTCGACTGCGCCTGCAATGGCGTCTCTCGTTTCTAGTCACAAGCATCAATCTCGTTCTCCATCTCGATCGGCTCCGCATCCACAGCGCTCACGTCCAGGAACGGTGACAGAGACTCCGGTGGCTCAGACACCTCCGAAATCGACGTCAAAGGCTGTATATGCGGCAGCGAGTCGGCGACCATCCACGCCGCTGAGAGAGGAGGGGTGGGGGTGAGGAAGTGCAGAAAGGGAGAAATTAGGGCTTGAGAGAGAGACGGGTGAGTAGGGTTTGATAATTAGGGATAGGGTGGGTGTATATAAAATAATTTTTATAATATTGTTATTAATATTTAATTAAATATAAAAAATCTGTATCTATATTTAAATATCTAACTTTTGAAACTTTAAACACAAAATCTGATTTTAGAATTTGAATCTTCAAATGTAGGGGTGGGTGTAATTTCCACTTAATTAAAATAATAATAATAATTGTAAGTGTGCATAAAATTACTAAAATGGACATTGATTATATTGATTTCCATATGATGATGATGATGATCATGATCATGATCATGATCATGATCATGATAGTATTATAAAATTTATCTTTATACTATAGATTAACCCTTGTTTTGTGCGAATTAAAATCAGTTTTTTAGTATATTTCTATAGAAGTTGATGGAATGTGTGGTTGAAAAATTGTGAAATCCATGAAATATGTGGTTGAAATTAATTGTTGATTTTGGTTAAAATCTAAATTTTAATTCTTAC